TACGTTTCTAAACTGAAGATGTATTTTGATTGTTTTATGAATATTTAGGAATGTTTCATATAGTCATAAATAAAAAGACTTTATCAATCAATATTTAAAATCATCAGTTTAGTCTTGTATTACTCATGGCTGGTAAAGTGTGTTTCTGGCATTGAAGCCTTTCAAATATTCCAACCAACGCATGTTAGCCTGAACATTCATGACAATTTGCATCATACAATCATAACTATGAATTTTGGATTCCAGAATTTTCAAAACATTCTTATAATTAACTTAAAGTTTGTCATCATCAATCATTAACATTTTGTTGTGGTAATATAGTTGTAAACAGACCCCAGATGTTATGAATACCACAAATACGTGCAACACCTTACCATTTTGGTGTTATTTTCCAAAATTTCAATTTTCCATTTCCAATTTTAATGGTAGAGATTGTTTCTTAAACTCCTAAAATAATTAATTGTTATTTACTCAACTCAAAATTTCTCAACTATTTACTCAAAATTTTTTATTAAGCAACATTTATGTTTATTGACAATAAAATATTATTATTTATTGTAAAGTAAGGTCAATTTGAGTTCTAAATGGCTGAAAAATATGATTACCAGTACTCCTTGTCACCACTTGAGCACTGAAAATGGATTGACCCAGATCATCTGAGTTCTTGAAAACAGAACAAAATAATATGAAAAATTCAATTGTCAATATACTTTTATTTCAGTTTACAAAGCCATTGTTTCCAATTGTTTCCATAGATGCAGAAAAAGTATGGCTGGAATGCATTACACCCCAATTTGAAAATGAATATTCCAACTTCATGAACTTTCACAGCAGTTTTACTTAGTAGGGTGGAGAGGGGTAATTGCATGCCATTTTCAGCAAAATTCAACTTTGCTGGTTTCTAGTGGGTCTATATTAACTAAAAATTAGACATTTATAATTTTATCATTTAGGACTGTTATTCTAGACCGTAAATTACCGGCTGGAAATAAAAGAATGAAATTTTCATGAATTTATTGAAGTTTTTTGAAGCACCTTCTGAAGTACATTTACCACACATTGTGGGGCAAATGTATTCTGTGCTTGGAATTCCTGTAAGATCTAGTTGTTTTGCTATTGGGGCAAATGAGCAGTTCAATACAAACAAAATGGGATTTCTTTTTCTTAGTGGTGTGGTGTGAGTGGCAGTCATTACATTTTTGTTTCTAATGTTTCTTTTTCCCATTGGAACAATTTATAATCACTAGGGAGTGCTAGCTATCATATTCCTACATTTTTTAAATGCATGCACGTTTATCCCAAGTACGCATTTTCACCACTCCACCTTGTAGTGTACATTAGAGATATTCTTGTTATAACTGTATGGGAAAGACTCCAAATAATCAATGGATAGTGCTATTTGTTACAATAAAATACACTTACTGACAGTGAAGCTATATTGTAAATACTTAGAATGGCACAGCAAACATCAAATATTGAACAGTTCTTAATGAATAAAGAAATAGCTAGAAGAAATAAATAAAATAATAGTAAACACCTAAGGCAGCTAGTGTTTATTCAAAAAGTTATTTTGAATAAAATCAAAGAAATAAATATTAATTTCATCACAAGATTCCATAGATTCTGAAAATATCCTAAATATTTAATTTTTATATTCTTCCTCCTTTTTTGAAACAAGTATCCCAATGTACCCAATAAACAATCTGTTTAGTTATCCTCCTCTCATTGTTTATCTCAAAAACGTTGTTGCCCTAGGTGGTGAATGAGTGCCGTACTTACAAGCATGCATGATAAGAGAAACATTGCCGTGGAATTAATTTCAGAAGAGTTCCTTTTAAACAAAACTTATGGTATACTTTTTATGAAAGAGGATAAGGATTTGAAGATTAGAGGACTGTTCCCCACCACCTCCTGGCCGTTCTTGGCTACACCCACGTAAGAAGGAGCGACATGAATGTATAAATGTGTAATAATATGTGGTTATTAAAGATTACATAAGACTGGGGATAACTTGCATTGATTCCTTAGTATTTTTTATTGAAATTTAAATTTTTCATTCTTCAAAGAGAGTTAAATTTAGAATTATCTGAGTTTTTTTTTTATTTTACCGGTATGGAATTAATTCATTACATTAAGAGTTTTAATAAATAATGCTAAGTTTAAAACATAAATAATGAGTGTTTGTTTTTGATTTAATACATTTCTGAAAAAAATAAACAATATGAATTTAGAGAATATATTATAAATGGTTAATATTATGAGAAAATTCAATATTACCTATTTCAATTTGGTTTACATGCTCCAAGAGGTTTAAAAATAGCTTACTGATGCAAATTTTTCAAAACAAATATTCATAAAAATTCAGTAAGTAAATAAAAAATATTTCACATAATGGTTTCAGAGATACTCAATATAAAAACATTGTTATTTCAAAGTAGTTTTAGATTATATATTTTAGAACTAAGTTAAATAAATATATATTGTATTGATACAAGCTATAAATAACATGTAGTACAGAATTAAAATTACTTTATATCATACCATCAAAAGGACTTATCTATTAATTAATGTCTCATAATGACTTGAATATATATTTGTACATTATTAACATTTGTGTGTGTTTAGATATGATCCAGAAGTGGTCTTTTTTGCACAAATGTATTCTCTTTTGTGATTGAAGATAAACTCAAAAGTGAAAAAGCATAAACCTTTTTTGATGGACATTGATTCAATAGGAACATTTCCTATCTGTTCACAATTTCCATGGAAATTCGTTCCATCGGGAGGGTCTGATTCTCTGAAATAGGAATGTAGGCTGCTTAATAAGAATTATTTAATTAAGGTATGAAGAAAAAATATTTAATAGAATTTTGTGTATACACCTTTACCACAGTCAATTGTTTAAATACATTATGAAATATCAAAGAAGTCATCACTAAATACTGTCAAGTGAAAATATAAGTTATTGAATACTTAGATAAAACTAATTAGCTTTTATCAAAACCTTGAACTTTCTAATATTATCACATACTTCACAAATGTTAATTTAAATAAACAGGTTTAATATATAAGATCAGCAAAAAATGTATAAATGATGTGAAAATAAATCTATAAAAATCAAGTCTCTACATGAATACTTGAAGTTACTGCAGTAAAATGATACTATAACCCAGAATAATCAAAACAGAGACAATCTCCATAGATATTGCAATTATTTTATTGATTCTTGGTATTAACGTACATTGTATTTTCTATATATTCTGGGGAAAATTATGTGTTATGAAGATACTATTAAGTAATGGTTGAGTCATGACAATCCATGATTGTTAACACATGTTCAAGGGCAGTTCTTAACAATTCTTGAATTAGTTCATAGAAACTAACAAAAATGATACTGTATTGTTCACTACTGGGATATTGCATGATACATAAACATTTATATTGTTAAGATTTTTAAAATAATTCTTTCTGTTGTTATCAATTTAAAAAAAATCTCCATCTGATTACATGAAAGAATAGGTAAATGTGTAAAAGGAACTCAAATTAAATAATGTTATATATTTCAAAGAAGATAAATTAAATTTCCTGTATTTTAAGGCATACTAAAGAACATTCCTGAGAACTAGATCATACGAAGCGAAATACAAAAAAAAGTAAGGCAGGACATATTACTGTGTCATTAGATTTTATTAGAAAATTAAGAATTAAGGTTGGAAGATAAAAATGTCATGTCACACAAGACTTAATCGTTCTAATACAAGTGCAACTGGTAATATTTATTTAAGTTGAATACGAGTTTGTATCCTGCTTACAATTTCAGTACAGACATATACTTTTTTATTTACTAATTATAAGACGAAACGTCTGCAATTCTTCAATGTGGGAATTATCAATAAATGAATCAGGTCTTTTTTAGTTGAAGTAAAATAGCACAGTAGGTTTCTTAATTTAATTTTAATGTAATGTAAGTTTATTATTGGTACTGTTAAAGCAGTCTTGAATGATTATTTTTTCAAATTTGTGTACATACTGAAATGTGTACTGAATAATTAACCATTCAAAATTTTCCTCTAGGAAAGTATTAAGTACATAACACTTGGTGGAAAGGAAATATACATCATTTGAAGTTTTGTTTTATGTTTTACTTTTAGACCAAGATGACATTGGTTACTTTTTTTATTAATTACGAATATATTGCTTAAAAATGAATAAGACATTTTAAAATTAGGAAGAGTAATGTACTGAAATAAAAACAAAGAGCGCTGAAAATAAATTCGGAAAACAATAGGTCCATTTCTTACACATATTATTACTAAAATTTTAAATATTCTAACCCGGACAAAATTCGCTTTTCGATGATTGAAAACCTTCAACAAAATGACAACTACAAGATCTCTCCTATTTTGATTGAAATGGAAATATAATACGCTTTTACATGTTGTATATTTCATTCCCTATGATAAGGACGGGTCTTTCACGCATTGTAGAAGGTATCAAACAAATACCAATCAGTCCAACGGCGGATTTTGAGAACCGTGTATAATGGCAGTTCTGACGTCACTCGACATAACTACGAATTAAACGGAAATACCTCACGAAATTTTGAAGCACAGCACAACAATCCACTCCCCTCCTCACCAAAACGCTCGCAAACATTCCTTATGTTCAACAGGCAGGTAGGAATATGTCAGAATACGTCGAGTTTCCCGCCTGCACCACCGCAGCGTATTGCAGTGCCGCGTTCTTTGCCGCGTAGCAGTACAGTGGCTCTATCTGTCACTACGGCCCCAACACTACTTGAAAGTTCTCGCCACGAGCGCAGCCGAGGAGAGGAAAGGAGAATTCTTGAGGTATCGTGCAGGTGGGGCCGCTGGTACCTGTGAACCGTAGGCTGCCGTAGACAGCGGTAGACAGCAACAGCGAGGAACGCTGAGGTCACGTGACGATCTTTTCAAACACTCCGTTCCGTTCCGAGCCCAATGAGAGAACAGAGTACTCCAGAGAGCTGGTGAGAGAATGTGAGGAAGTTACGGGAACTGGAAAGTCGTGTTCGTCGCTGTACCTGGTGCAAGATGTTAAGTGCGCCATGAATGCAGTGTTATTGCCAAATTACCAGTGTTTTATGTGAGATACAAAAGATGTACCAGATCACACTGAGAGTGTTGACGTGATTTGGAAATGCTCCTAGGACGCCCAAGAAGAAACAATGTTCCTGCCTTGTGAAGACCTCGGTGGTATTGTTTACTTCGTCTGCAGTGATTACGAGACGTGAAGGGAATTTGACAGAACGTGATATTCTAGACACATGCATGTCAATTCTAGAATTGTGAAGATGGGAGTGCAAAGTAACATGTTTCTGAGAACAAATTCGAAAGTGAGATTGAAGTTAAGAGTTACAACTAACGTTTGGCTATGTTTTGTTGTGATTTGTGCGAATATGTGTCCGGTAACGCATGGTTCTGGTGACGATGTCGTGACCTTTAACGTTGATGAAGAATACCATACTGTCACACAGTCAATACCTCAACAATTAACTCAGTTACAAGGTGGTAGAGTGTCTGACAGAACAGTGCGATTGACGAAAGAGAAGAGTCCGTATCTTTTACGAGAGGATTTGATTATCGAACCTTCAGGGGAACTTGTCGTAGATCCAGATGTAGAAATCAGATTTTCACCGATGGTGGGACTTACTGTGAAAGGAGTACTTTCGGCCAAGGTAAGTTATGATTTTGAACTTGTTTATACCTAAGCAGTAGCAGGTGGTTGTGGCCGTTATGTTGACAGTACGTTTCTGAGTGGGCGTGCGCCCTCCTGGGAATAGTTTTACAATGACATTACATTTGCGAAAATGCATTTTCATTTCACAAGCCCAGACAGAAAAGTAGTCTTTAAATGACGTCAGTTTGTCACTTTGAGATTCATTCAGCTTCCCTCGCACCTCTGAGCCTATTATTGCTACCGTAAGGATACGCCTACCTGATGTTAAGACTCGCGTTTAATGAAGTCTGTCGCATGGTGTCTCCACTGTTATTTGAACGAAATCATATTTTAACATGATTGTATTAGTGCATTCCCTTCTTTTGTAAGAACACTATGTCTGTCACTTGTGTGGTATGATAATTATTTAGCACCACACATGCATAGCTTTCGCAGTGCCCGTGGGCGAAAGGGTGACATGACAATTGCGTCGCTCACAAAATTAAATGAAATATTTGACGTGCGAAATTTAAAAAGAAATTATTATCCCAATAATTCGTTTTGTTAACTGGGCTCAATATCACACATTGACTTCGTGGGCTCAAAGTATCAAACTGACACTTTACCAAGTAGCCAAATTGACAGATAAACCATGCTTCTTCCATCGCTTCAACATTGTTTATATTGTACTAGAAGCTCTCCCCCGTCGGGAATTCCTGTGTTGTGTAGTTCAAGAAGAGAATTTGTAAACAACAAAATTCCTCTTATCAACAGACTTAACCTTAGTGCCATTAACTCAGTGGTTCGTGGGAATATTTACACTACATACTTCACAAAGAAAACTCACATTTTTGGTATGTTTATATGTTACAGCTAGATAGAAAAATGATGCTGGCGAATGAAATGACTTAGTATTATGGTATTTAATGTATAAAAGTTGCATAAGTCCATTTTGGGGCTAGGATTAATCATCGCATAAGAAGTAAACAGTGGAAACGAAGAGGAGGGGGCGGTGAACCACTGAAAGCTTGCTACATTGCTTTATAAAAGATTCATTACGCGCGAAACACTTTCGGAAGAAGAAAAGCATTTTCCAACATTCCGCTTTAGATTTTTAAAGGTTTTTTTTTAATTGTATCATTGCCCTATTTTGCGGGTCGTGGTTCGATGGAACCGCCGAGCGTTTTTCTACGAAACTTTCTCAAGCGTTAATAGCTCATACGTTAGTCACCCGTCTGTGACTCACGACATTCAGGAAAGATCCCCTTTTGAACACTCCTAGTGACGTTACGCGACAGGTGAGTGACAAAATGACCTTGAAATGTAGAGAAACTTGTCAGAAAGGTGCATTCGTATTGGGAGTGAAAAATGTTATTTTGACTTTTGTTCTATTATCAAATTGGTTTTGAATTCAAGTGATTGTTTTACGTAGAAGGAATATATTAATTAAATATGATCCGTGTTCCGAACGTATGCAGTCTCGATCCACTCATATGCAATAGATTTATTGACCTTGGACAACTTCCGCATCGCTCTAGGAAAGAAGTAGACAAGAGTGCTTCAATGTTAATGAGATTTTTTACTCTCACTAGTTGTGGTGTTATTTAATGAGTAAATACAGTTCGCAAAGTTGAATTTCGGTGTATTGATCATTCTTCTGAAATTTGCTCATTACCAGATAATTTTGCGGTGTTGGAAAACCTTAGCTGTTGCCACCGGGGCCCGTTCTGATGAATGAGCCACAGTCCATTCACAAGTTACCATATGCGGGCAGCTGCAACATGCACGACACTGAATATTATCGCCCATAGAATGAGTCCTCCAGCAGTAGGTGGGCTGGTATCTTTTTTATCGGTTTTCCAGGATTTAAACCACGCTCGGAGCGAATTCCTGAAATTGTGTAATTGCGTGCAGGTCTCTTAAAGCGTGACACATCGAATATTCTGTGGTTTTTTATTCGTGATAAATGGTGAAGCAAAAGTTGTTGATTGAATCCATGTCTGTTGCATGATCATTCCTTCCCTATCCGGTTCGCTCAGCTGGCCTGTAAAATTTGACAAAAACGAAGTCATCTCGTTAACCACAAAGAACGTCAAAGAACCACAATTAACTAACGTGTAAAACAGCCACGATTGAAGAAAGTAGTCGATTAATATTAGTATATCACTATTTTTTGCAGGACCAAGTAGTCGAATTTGTGTCTGAGCTCTGCAAACATTATGTCCATCGAAAAAGTCAAGGCGATATAGTAACGTCAGCCTCCCATTTCTTTTAAGTGGCAAATTTGGATGCAAGTGTTTCCGAGTGCGTCAACTGCTAAAGTCATTAGTTTCGAAAGTGTAGTGCATGTTTTTTTCTCGGGAGGTGGCTGTGATCTTCCACCGCTGGATGGTAAGATCCGGCGCTGACCTACCGTCGGTTAGCTGGTTTTTTCCCCAACCAGGTGTCTCAAACGCCTGGAGCACCGCCCCAGCCAGGACAAACTAAGTTCCCGACATGAGTGATAGTATAGTGCATGTAAGTGTGTGTATGTAAGCGGTGAGATGATAAGGAAGAGGAAGGAAAAATAGCACGCGGTCCGTGGCCCGTTTGTTAGGGTATTACTCCAGCATTTGCCTGGTGTTGATCGGAGAAACCCCGGAAAACTACCAATCAGAGCAACCGGTCGCTAGAATGTTCCTCCAGTCAGCGATTGAATTCGACCTTGCTATCCAGCTAGTGTCCAAAATCCTGCTACCGTCTGGACTCGAAGCTAGGACTTCCGGTACCTCACATGTCGGGAGAGCAGTCGTGATATTAGAGCTTGTTCCTTCTGGGGCGGTGCCTCGCTGGTGATGGAGATACCTAGTTGTGAGAACCTCGCAAGCGGACGAGGTGGTCGATGGAGGAGGAGGAGGATCCATCCAGAGGAGGGAAGATCAACGCCAACCTCCCGCGGTAAAACATGCACTACACTTACTGATCTAATAACCTTAGTTGACGCATCCGGAATATTTGACGCCCCCGAATTTTTAATCAATTATTTTGAATTCTCGTTCATGAGATACAACATTTGGTTCTTAACGCCAAGACGACACTAGTTTTGTCTTGGTTATCAATTGTTTTCCAAGACACTGTGATTCACTTCGCATGAGTTTCTAAGCGTGACGCGAAGAAACAATCTCCATTTCATCTGAACAGTAATCTTCAGTAAGGAAATTCAAAAGAAGATATTGCCGAATCACTGTGGAATTGTAGATTAAGCAGTATTTTCAGGAGTGTATGCAAAACTTGATTATTAACTTTTTCAATTTCAGGGCTCCATGCGTGTATTTCAGACAAAAATCACCATTTTCCTCTGCAGCAATGCAATACTTTCTCTTTACTACGTAAATGCGTAGTATGTGAGAAATTAAAAGTAAATATTTTCTCTATAATCACTGTAAATTTGTTCTTTATTTTTTCCTTAAATTGTCTAATAACTATAGCGATACCTTAAGCTTACATTTTACTGTAACGCCTATCGACAGAGATTTCACCTGCAGCACTGTTGGTCGAAACTCAGGCTGAGTAAATATTTTTGTTTGTTTTTATTCAATATTTTTGTAAGAATACAAGAGCGCAATACAGTAATATGAATGGCAGGAAGCAGTTTTCATTTAAGCATTTGAATTTTGAATAATGTAAAGATGTGTATGTTTATTTTGGCAGGCAATTTGATGATGTTAAGTAAACGTCACCGATAATTAGAGAAATTATGTGTCTTTTCGCACAATTATTTTTAATAGTCACGATCGCAGAATTTCGCAAAAACTCCGTTTTTTCAAAACATTGTACAGGTCATTATTTAAAAGTCAATATTTGAAGAACAGATTTCATTCATTATTTAGACACTACTATTGCTCAGACAAATACAGACAAGTTTTGTAAAAAAGAAATCTTGTTTTGTGGTCCACGGACCATCTCCTGTATTTCCGTCGAAATCTCGACATTGATTTTTACTTTCTCGAATGCTACGTATGTAATACAGAGGAAGTTATGTATATGTCTGTCTGTGCATGCGTGCGTCTATCTGTGCATGCGTGCGTCTATCTGTATGTCTGTGCATGCTCGCGTCTGTCTGTGTGTCTGTGCATGGACGCGTCTGTCTGTGTGTCTGTGCATGCGCGCGTCTGTCTGTGTGTCTGTGCATGCGCGCGTCTGTCTGTGTTTCTGTGCATGCGCGCGTCTGTCTCTGTGTCTGTGCATGCGCGCGTCTGTCTGTGTGTCTGTGCATGCGCGCGTCTGTCTGTCTGTCTGTCTGTCTGCCTGTGCGTGCGTCTGTCTATCTATGCGTGTGTGTGTGTGTGTGTGTGTGTGTGTGTGTGTGTGAATTTGCCTGTCGGTCTGTGCGAGTCTGAGTATTAGTTTGTCGCTGTCTGTCAAGTCTGTTCGTGAGTAGCATGAACAACGCTAGCTGCTTAACCGTACTAAGAATTTTCACAAAAATGTATACTACACAATCGGACTGTCTGATTTCGTGATTCTTTGGGTTTGAAATTTTTATTTTGACTTTGCTCATTGTAGAATGTAAACAGCCCAAATATCTCTGCATGTGGTACCTTTGTTAGGTTCACAACCATTTACCGCCATGAGTTATCTACATGGATTCTCTTCTTGTTTGACGGCGTTATCTTCTTGCGGGTTATCGTAAAGTTAGTCCAGACATAAAACCGATAAGGCATGTCGATAAATTAATCGATGTAGCTTATCACTGAAAAAGAGTATGATTTCGTAAATTGCTTAATATATCGATGGAACTTCTTTAAAATGTGCGTTCATCGGTGTGTTGCGTGTATTTGAAAAGTTCGCTTCTGCGCGAGTGTGGCTTGCTGGGGGAGGGAAACAGCTGATAGTGTGTACTCTTACATCACAGGTTGTCTTACGTACTTCTCTTCGAATATCGAATACTACCAAGAGTGACCATGAGATAATTGCTCTCACATGCTCCGAATTCCAGAGGTTTGAGGGAGTGTTTAGATACGGGCACATGCTCTTTTA